TACAATAAATCAAAAAATCAGCCGGACGTGGTAGCACGCGCCTGTAATTCCGGCTACTCGGAAGGCTGAGGCGGAAGGATGGCCGGAGCCCAGCAGGTCGAGGCTGCGGTGGCCGGGAGCAGCCACTGCACTCCAGTCTGGGTGACAGAGTGAGACTCCAACTCAAAACAAAAAAAACAAAAAACAAAAAACAAAACATCTTAATGAACAACCAATCACCTCCACAACAAAGGATTATGCTAATTTATATTACTGGTAATGTCTATTTTCTACATACCCTTACCAATACTGGGTATCGTCGTCCTGATATTTGCCAGTATTACAGGTGGAAAAGGATCCATTCTTCAATTAACCGTGAAGTTTGAATATCTTTTTATACATTTATTCATTGAACATTTGCCTTTTCTCTTTTGTGAGTTACCTCTCTATACTTATTGATTTGTGAGAACTCTTTATATAAAGAGTGTTCACAGTTGATTTGATGACATATTGACCTTTTGTTTAAAGTGTTTCTAAAAAAAGTGAAAAATATGCTTGCTTTACCTTTAAATCTGACAAAATGTGTAATAGAAACCATTCATGATTAAAATGTAGTTGTTTTTCAGTTGGCTTCTACATTTTTCTGTAGGATAAGACAGTCCCCTCTGGCAAGGTGATTTTTTTTCTGTTGGTGTGTGTAAATCTGACACATTTTCCCTGGAGGTAGCACCAGGAGCACCAGCAAGGAGGATGTAGCGGGAAAGAGGTCAGGAGAAGGACGAGGACACACTGGGACCAGACCCAGGGAGGCAGAGGGGGTTGGGTAGTGTGATCAGAGCAGGGGTTCACACAGAGGGTACCAGGATCTGCTAGAGGGGGTCAGGCAGCCACACTCAGAGGGCGAGGAAGCTCTGCAGGTGTTGGACAGAGCTGGAGACCACACTCTGTTGTCCAGGAAGCATCCTGGTTGCCTTGAGTCTGTGCGTGTGACTGTGTGTGCAAGTGTGTGCAAGCATGCACATGCATGTGTGGCTGAGTGTGAGGATGTGGGCGTGGCTGTGAGTGTGACAGTGTGTGAACGCGCTGGCCTGAGGGGCCGTGGGGTTCCCAGGGAGCCCTTGGCCTCTGTGCATCGAACACGCCTCTGAGATTCCAAGGGCTGGTTGCGATCCCTGAGCTAAAACACGCTCGAACGGAGGAGGTGACTTTACGTTCATGCCCTCATTTCTGTTGACCTCTATTTCGTGCGTGTAAACAGGATTTTCTGACTCAAAACCTAAGGTGGCCTCTTCTTTAATTTCCTTATGCAAGTCCTGCGGTTCCTCTGCCCTCATGTCAACTCCGGCACGTGGGGTGCGCACGCCTTTCTCTGTCGCTTGTCCCACGCCTGCTTCCTTCCTAACACCCCTCCCTCTTTGTGGCCCAGGGGGCCTCCTTCCACCAGTTCCCCCACCTGGCTGCAGGTGGGGGACCGTGACTCTGTGTCCTGTGTCCCCAGGTGTTTGAGATCCTGCTGAGCCGCGGCTACTCGGAAGCCAATTTCCGTGACGACCTGAAGCGCCTTTATCTGCAACTTGGGATCGAGAACAAAACCACGATCTTTCTGTTCACGGACGCGCACGTGGCCGAGGAGGGCTTCCTGGAGCTCATCAACAACATGCTGACCTCAGGTGCACGCTCTGCCCATGCTCCGCCCACGCTCCACCCCTGGGGGATTCTCTCCTGCAGCTTGTCCACCCTGCAGACACCACCTGGGGCCCTGTGCAGGGGCGGCCCTGCTCCTCCCTCGTGGCCGCCCCAAGATAGGCCCCTTCCTGTCATGCATGAGAGGCCCGGGGCCCTCCTTTCCTGGGACTCTCTGGAGCACAGCTACGGCTCTCCATGTGGGGACAGCAGTGGCACTTGCAGGACCGCTAGGGGTTTCCGCGCATCTGTCCCGTGCCCTGGGCAGCGCTAAGCACTCAGCGTGTGCTGCTGATGAGGAGGGTACCATGACCATCCTCATTTCCCAGCTGGGGAAACTGAGGCACAGCTGTCCTATAGAGGGTTGAATGGTGGCCCCTCAAAAAGATACGTCCTGGTCCTAGACCCCTGAAACCTGCGAATGGGACCTTATTAAGAAAGGTCTTTAGCCGGGCTCGGTGGCTCAGCCTGTAATCCCGCGCTTTTGGGAGGCTGAGGTGAGCGGATTGCCTGAGCCCGCGGGTTCGAGACCCGCCTGGGCAACTTGGTGAGACCTCATCTCTACAGTAAAACAAAACATTAGCCGGGCATGGTAGCGCATGCCTGTAGTTCTGGCCACTTGGAAGGTTGAGGCGGAAGGATTGCCGGAGCCCAGCAGGTCGAGGCTGCGATGGCCGGGAGTGGCCACTGCACTTCAGTCTGGGTGACAGAGTGAGACTCCAACTCACAAAAAAAAAAAAAAAAAAAGAAAAAAAGAAGAAAGGTCTTTGCAGATGTCATTAGACTCAGGATCTTGGTGGGTCCCAAATCTAACAGCAGCTGTCCTTAAAAGAGAACGGATGGATTGCCTGAGCCTGCGGGTTCAAGACCCGCCTGGGCAACTTGGCGAGACCTCATCTCTACAATAAATCAAAAATCAGCTGGGTGTGGTAGCGCATGCCTGTAATTCCAGCTACTTAGAAGGCTGAGGTGGAAGGATCGCCGGAGCCCAGCAGGTCGAGGCTGTGGTGGCCGGGAGTGGCCACTGCACTCCAGTCTGGGCGACAGAGTGAGACTCCAACTCAAAAACAACAACAACAACAGCAACAAAGAGAACGGAGAGGAGGTTTGAGACACGGAGAATGAGGTCCTGTGAAGATGAAAGCAGGGACGCCTAGAGCCACCAGAAGCCAGAGGAGCAAGGGGGGATTCTTCCCAGAGCCCTTGGCGGGAGACCCTGACACCTTGACTTCCGGCCTCTGGCCTCCAGAACTGGGAAAGAATACGTTTCTTTCTTTATCACTTTAAGCTGCCCAGTGTGTGATAATTCATCAAGGCAGGCCCAGGAAACGACCACAGAGAGGGTGCCTCTGAACAGAGGCAGGACTTGAACCCAGGACCCTCAGCACCACAGCCACCCTCGTAACCACTTTGCCATGTCACAATCTTGCCCACCGCGGGGCCCTGCTGAGGTTCATGCTGGCTTTGCCTGACCAAATGACTCTTGGAGACCTCTCTTCTTTCCTGGGGACCTGTTTCACTCGGTGCTTGTTTTTGGCCCCTAACTGTGTGGCTTACGGTAGAGTGTGTGATTGGCGTTTTCCCCCACATTTATTATGAAGAGTTTCAGCCACGATGGCAGGGTTGAGCATGAACACTGCGTGCACGCCGTCCAGATCCCACCACCTGTGTCTTTCTGTACTTCCTTGATCGCACGTAGAAACTTCCTCCCTCCCTCTACCCAGTTCTTGTTTTGATGCATTTTGAAGTCAATTGTAGCACAGTACCCTCCCTGCTAAATGCTCCTGCATGTTTACCATTATCTAGAGTTCAATTTCTGTTTATAGTTTTTTTCTTTGATTTTTTTTTAGGGGGTCGGAGTCTTACTCTGTCACCCAGGCTGGAGTGCAGTGGCACGTTCACAGCCACTGCAGCCTCAACCTGCTGGGCTCAGGTGATCCTCCCACCTCAGTCTCCCGAGTAGCTGGGACTATAGGTGCATGCCACCATGCCCGGCTAATTTTTGATTTATTGTAGAGATGAGGTCTCGCCAAGTTGCCCAGGCTGGTCTTGAACCCCTGGGCCCAGACAATCCTCTCACCTCAGTCTCCCAAAGTGCTGGGATAACAGGCGTGAGCCACCACGCCCGGGCTCTTTTGACGTAAGATTTATATACAATGAAACACATACATTTTAAGTGTCTATTTGCTACATTTTGATCATGGAGTTTTAAGTCGCGTCTGTTTCAGTGGGTTGTCCACCCTTTAAGGGTAGGGACTATGCCACCTACCTGGATTCCTTCCATGGTATTTGTTCCAGACACGGATTTATTAGGACAGGACAGTCCTGACCTTCCTTGAAGCTCACAGCCCAGGTGTGTGTGGGCTGGCTAATGCCATCAACAAACACACAAAGACACATGGCAATTGCAAATTGTGATGGGTGCGACGGATGCAAAGGAGTCCATGCCAGTCCAGACAGAGCAGAGGATGGCGCCATTGTAAATGGCTGAGACCTGAAAGTTAGTGTGTTCACTTCCTGTTGCTGCTATGACAAATCACCCCACATGTAATGGCTTAAAACGACACAAATGTATTCCTGTATGAGGTCAGGAGTCGGAAAAGTGTCTTAAGGGGATAAAACCAGAGTGTTGGCAGGGCTGGTCCCTTCTGAAGGGTCCCGGGAGAATCTGTCTCCTCAGCTCTTGCAGCTGCCAGAGGCTGCCCCTTTCTCGGCTCCATGGCTCATAGGACTCCAGTCTCTGCTTCTGTCATCCTGACTCTAACTCTACTGCCTCCCTCTCGTAAGGACCCTGGGGCTTGCCTTGGGCCTGCCCGGAGTTCTCACCCATCTCCAGAACCTTAACTTAGTCATACCCGCAAAGCTGCTTTGGCGGGAAACATCAGGAAACATATTCACAGGATCCAGAGTTTAGGATGGGGACACCTTTATGGGCTGCTGTTCAGGCTTCCACACGAAGGCCTGAACTGGCCAGGTGACTGTTGGCAAAAGCGTGACAGGCGGAGCGTTCTATGTGCCAAACAGCCAGGGTGGGAGGGGCCGACACAACAGGAGTGTGGTGAGCCGGACGGAGACCGGGACGTGATCTGAGGCTCGCGATGAGGGCCTTGTGGGTGCTTTGCGGGAGGTGAGATTTTATTTTCAATGCAAGGATGTGGCCTAGATTTGGGGTTTTACTAGATTCCTGTGGGAACTAGATTAGAGGAGAGGAGAGCTGGAGAGGGGCGGTCAGTGTAGAGCTACCCCCGTAGTGCTGGCGGGAGGTGACAGCCACTTGGCCAAGGATGGGGCGGTGGACATGGAGAGAAATAAGCGAGTGGTGGGTGTTTCCATTTGCTGAGATGGGGAAGGCCAGGCCGGGTTGAGCGCTCGGGGCGTGTTGATCCAAATGGGATGTCTCATAGTGTATTCTCTTGCTGGGGCCGCTGTCTCCAAGTGCCACGGATAGGTGGCTTACAACAACAGAAATGTATCGTCTCACTGTTTTGGAGGCCAAAAGTCAAGGTGTCGGCAGAGTTGGTTCCCTCTGAGCTCTGGAGAGTTCTGTCCCAGGCCTCTGCCCTGGCTGCCGGGGGTTGGCTAAGGAGCTTGGGCGTTCCTTGGCGTATAGACGCAGCACCTGGCCTCTGCATCTGTCTTCACATGGCCTTCTCCCTGTTGTGTCTGTCTCTGTGCCCAAATGCTCCCCCTTTATACAGGCACCATTCATGTTGGATTGGGGTTCAACCTCCATGGTCATATTCTGAACTGCGGGGGGACTTCAAGATATTTCCTTGGTGGGTACGCAATTCCACTTAATACGTAGGCAGTTGTGTCTATGAGTCTGGCTCTCGGAATAGGGACCCAGACTGGCGATGTCAATTTCAGAGTCACTGACATGTGGCTTGTAAAGCAGAGTCAGCCAGGGGAGAGCCCAGGCCTGAGCATAGAAAAGGAACGAGCAACGGAGCGAGAGGCCAGGAGGAGAGCCAGGTGGGGCTTCCTCTGTGTCTCTTGCAGTCTCAGGGACTGTGTCGAAGAGCCCAGGACCACCCCAGGGTGCAGGACTCAGCAGAAGTCGTACTCATGGCTGTGATTTATTTCAGCAAAAGGCCACAAAGCCCAATCAGCAAAGGGAAAAGGCACACAGGGGGAACCTGGGGGGAGACCAGGCACGAGCTTCCGGAATCCCTTCCCCGAGGAGTCACACGGGGCTTGCGTCATCCCTCAGCGATGGGTCGTGACAGCTCACGTCGAACGTCGTCTCCCAGGAAAGCTTGCCGGAGCCACGGCGCCCAGGGTTTCTCCTGGGGCTGCGCATGTAGGCACCTCTGCCTGGTGTGTGCCAGAATCCCAGATGTCCCGAGGGAGAGCAGGAGGTCAGCATAACATACATTGTTTGGTCCAAGGAGGGAGGATCACTTGAGGCCCGGAGTTCAAGACCAACCTGGGCAACACAGTGAGACTCCATTTCTACAAAAAGATTAAAAAATTAGCCAGTCCCAGCTATTCGGGAGGCTGAGGCAGGAGGATCGCTTGAACCCAGGAGGTTGAGGCTGTGTTGAGCTATGATTGCACCATTGTACATCAGCCTGGGCAACAGAGTGAGACCCTATCTTATATGTATACACACACACGTGTATGTGTGTGTGTGTGTGTGTGTGTGTGTGTGTGTATGAATATACATGTGTATATATATTATATAACATATATGTTGTTTGCACAAGCAGCTTAGGGATGGTGAGCCACTCATAGTGAATGAGGGAAGGAACCCTTCCAAAGCCCAAGCTTCCAGATGCCAGCCACGGGCTAGCCTGGCGAGCTGGCCTTTCTTTTTTTTTTTGAGTTGGAGTCTCACTCTGTCGCCCAGACTGGAGTGCCGTGGCTGCTCCTGGCCACCGCAGCCTCGACCTGCTGGGCTCTGGCCATCCTTCCACCTCAGCCTTCCGAGTAGCCGGAATTACAGGCATGCGCTACCATGCCCGGCTGATTTTTTGATTTATTGTAGATCTGAGGTCTCGCTGCCCAGGCGGGTCTCGAACCCGCGGACTCAGGCAATCCGCTCACCTTAGCCTCCCAAAGGCACGGGATTACAGGCTGAGCCACCGAGCCTGGCCAAGCTGGCCTTTCAAAGATGAGCAGCCTGGGCCTGCTCAGGAAAGAATAGGGTACTTCATGAAACATTATAACAATTGGAAATGGTGTAGATAGACTGGAAAAGGAACCCCGCTGGTCAGCATTTCTCCCCACAGCGCTGTTGACATCTGGGGCCAGACAATTCCTTGTGGCAGGGGCTGTCTTGGGGATTGTAGGATGTTTAGTAGCATCCCTGGTCTCCACCCATTCGATGCTAATAGCACCCCCACCCCCTCCCCCAAGCTGCAAGAACCAAAACTATCTCCAGACATTGCCCAATACCTCCCGGGGGCAAATCACCTCCTCTGAGCGTTCCTACTTAGAGTTCTAGATCAGTGAGGCCTTCGCTTGTTCTGTGGGATCGCCTTTGATGACACAATAATATTCCCAGGTCAGCAGAAGGCATTTTTTTTTTATTGTTTTGAGTGGAGATATCACCCTGTCACCCAGGCTGGAGTGCAGTGGCACAATCAGGGCTCAGCCCAGCCTCCCCCTCCTGGGCTCAGGCCATACTTCTGCCTCAGCCTCCCAAGTAGCTGGGACTACAGGCACGCATCACCAGGCCCAGCTTGTTTTTATTTTTTATTATTTTGTAGAGACGAGGTCTCACTGTGTTGCCCAGGCTGGTCTCGAACTCCTGGGCTCAGGCGATCCTCCAGCCTTGGCCTTCCAAAGTGCTGGGATGACAGGCATGAGCGCCTGGCCTCAGGAGACGTCTATTATCCCCGTTTTACAGGTGAGGAGCGCAAAGCTCAAAGGACTATATGTGTAGCAGGCGGAGAGCCTCGGGTCTCAGAGTCAGGACCCCCTCCCTGCTCTTTGGACTCGACATCAACTGCTCTTTCCAGAACTCCCTGTCATTTCTCGGCGCCTACGGAGGTAATAACCCTGAAACGCACAGAAAACACTCACAGGCCTTTGTTTTCTAGGAATTGTGCCCGCGCTTTTCCCTGACGAGGAAAAGGAGTCCATCCTCAGTCAGATTGGACAGGAAGCTCTGAAGCAAGGGATGGGGCCGGCCAAAGAGTCCGTCTGGCAATACTTCGTGAACAAAAGTGCAAATAACCTGCACGTTGTCCTGGGCATGTCGCCAGTGGGGGACACCCTGAGGACCCGCTGCAGGAATTTCCCAGGTACCCTCGAGCGGAGGCTGCAAGCCCACCTCCCCAGAATCAGGAGGGGATCGATCCACCCCTGAGGTTCCACCAGGAGAGTTAAAAACACGGCCGCAGGGTGGGAAGGTGGGCCTGGCGCTGGAGGACAAGGCCTTCTCTGGCACAGTCGCCAACATGCAAGGCCTGTGGCGCGTGGAGGGGCCTCTCTGCTCTCTTCCACTTGGGGAAATTGTGGTAGCCTCGTGGACAGCAGGTACCTGCCTCTAGAGTGGAGGCCTGCCTTCCTGCCTGCCTGCCTTCCTTTCCCTCTCCTGCCCTTTTCTCCCCTCCCTTCCCTCTGTTGCCCAGGCTGGAGTGCAGTGGCACGATCATAGCTCACTGCAGCTTTGATCTCCGGGGCCCAGGCCATTGTCCCGCCTCAGCCTCCCAAGTAGCTAGAACTTCGGGCAGGTGCCACCACGCCTGGCTAATTTTTTAATTTTTAATTTTTTTTTTTTTGGTAGAGGTGAGGTCTTGCTATGTTGCCCAGGCTCATCTCGAACTCCCGGGCTCAAGCAACCCTCCTGCCTTGACCTCCCAAAGTGCTGGAATTACAGACATGAGTCACCGCACCTGGTCTAGAGCGGAGATTTATTATTATTATTTTTTTGAGTTGGAGTCTCACTCTGTCGCCCAGACTGGAGTGCAGTGGCCGCTCCTGGCCACCGCAGCCTCGACCTGCTGG